TTTTTTGTTTATGTATATATATTTGTTTATGTATATATATGTATGTGCATATATATTTAAATTTGACTGTTTCAAGGAGGCTTAGTTGCTGAAATATTCTCAAGTAATTTCTGAAAAGTTGCTGCTGTTTTTTAGCAAAGGACTTGCTTTCTGTTGGAGATAGAGGTCCTGCTTTATTTTGTTGCTTCCAGAGGATGTGTATAATGATAGCATCAAATTTCTCTACTCACCTGTGTGCTATCGTGATGAAGAGCTGCCGGGATCAATTTCACTGGATGAACTTCAACCTATATTGTGACCATGCTTATCAGGAAAAAACAGATAAAAATACATGCATCTTTTCTCCTTCAGGCCCATCAAAACTGCTGGGTGTAGTTGCATCATTTTTTTCACTTAAATATGATATGCTGTATGTTAATAAAAAAGCAATATGCTAATATGGCATTGCTTTAGAATTAGAAATATTAAATACACTTTTAACTCTTTCAGGATGGTGATGAGTCATCTCCAGTTTTAACAAGTTCTGAAATTGTTAAGATTCCAGATCCACAAATGTCTATGGTAAGCATTATTCTACGTAATACATTCTGTAACACAGTATTATTGCTGAGAGGTTTCCACACATGGAGGTGAAAGCTTGTCTGTATTCCTACTGTCAGTAGTTCAGAGTCCTGTGGGAAAGATGTATTTGTCCAGTTGAGAAGTATGTTGGTGTGATTTTTGGTACGTTTTTAGTGCTTCTGCTAGATTTTAAATACAGCAACTTATTTAATGCTTACAATGAGTTTCTTCCTTACTATACTTAACGTACTTTCTTCTGAGATGTGGGGAGGCAGATTAGGGGTACTGCTGGTAGAAGAGAGGGTGGGAAAATTAGACAAGAAGGAGCTGAAGAAGACAAAGGAATTTTTGAAGAAGGTGTAGTAACTCTTGGTCACTTCGTCTGTTAAAATGTTTTTTTCCCTACACTCTTTTGTATGTTGTTTTTCATGTAGACAGTGCCTAAATACAATTCTAGAAAAGATTTCCATTATTGTGGATGCCAATTCAGTGGGACTGGTATTGGCAGCTTTGGGAACCTTAATGTAAGTGGGCTTCTACTGGCAACACTGTTTGAGCACTGTGTAATCTAACACTGCAAGAGCAAGTCTGACAATGCTGAAAACTGCCTTGGCTGCTGAAATCTTGTTGACACCGTGGCTCTTTTTGTGGCTCCTACTGTTGCTAACATGGTATTAACAGTGGGAAAACTTTTTGAGAATGTTTTTGTTGCATACAAAGCTTCATACTGCAAACATCCTACATATGTTTAGAAAGCAGCTAGCACGTTTGAGTGCTGTCTAAATCACGGGTGTGTTGACTGAAACACTTGCATTTTGCAGCAATTCACCAAAAGGCAAAATAAGGCTTGTAAGTTGTGTGAAGTACAATAAATACATAAAAATAATTTCAAATCCCTACAGCCTTCTTCTCTTTTACGGGGTTAAAGGGCGTATTGTTGAAGGAATATCTAGTAAAAACTGCAGTGATGACAAAAAACAATCCAGAAGATGCTGTATTTTTAGATGTGAATTTTAATTGTCGTGCATTATTCAACATACTGGGGAGTTTTTGCTAGGTGGTTTCAATACTAATTTTCTCTAGAGTTTAAGTATTTATGTATATTGACTTACCCTCTGCGTTTAGGAGAACTTAGTAGAAAGCAAACATCACAAGCTTGCTCGAAGTTTAAGAAGTGGACCTTCTGATCATGATCTGAAGCCCAATGCGGCTACTCGAGATCAGCTTAATGTAAGTCAATCATATCGTGATTAAATTCAAAGTTATTTTATGTTGTTCACTATTAATATGTGTTGAGAATTTAAATGAAATGTTTAACTTTGAAAAAAATCATCAATGAAGAAAAATCAGGTGTGTCTCACAAGTAATTAGGTGAGTCCAAATCAGAAATAAACAGAAATACATTCAACTTTGTAATTTTATCTTTTAAGAAAACATATTACTTCTGTTTTGAGGGTTTCATAACACATGTTGTGCACATACCTCACTGTTGATGGGAGTCTTAACTGCTTCTGTTTGCCTGCATTGTCGGTTCCTTCAACCTTGTAACTAAGAAGCATCACCATGACAACATGAGAACTTTGTGTTGTTGAAAACTTTTTTTTTTTCCTACCTATTTTTGTGTCATCAGTGTTTTGTTTCATCACAGTATATTCCGTTAACTTTGTGCTTATGCATGCTCATGTTTTTTGAACTGACTTTCTATTTGTCTAATAGATCATTGTGAGTTACCCACCAACAAAACAGCTAACATACGAGGAACAGGATCTAGTTTGGAAATTCAGATATTACCTTACTAACCAGGAGAAGGTAAGCTGAAGTACTTGAGAGGGTTATTAGTGCAATCAACGTTTCATCTGACACTGATTTTACTGTTCTTCCCTTGAAGATACAGACTTTAAGTGTGTTAGTAGATAATTAAGATGATTTTAACTTTCTCTAAAGTCACTGATTTTAAAAATCAAAGTCTCTTTAAATCATAGAATCTAGCTTTTATTGCAGTAGCTTTTGTATAAAGCCAGAATGACAGTTTAATTGCTAGTGGTGATATTTTTATTTTCTTTGTCAGCAAAGAGAAATAAATAGAAATAGCTTGTCCATCCCTTTTTAGTAAAGAGTTAATATTATGTACTACCAAGAATATATAGCAGCACACCAAAAAAACAAAGTGCATTAAATAAATAACAATCTAATGGTGACTACTTTTATGTATTGATGATGGTGGTAGAGCAGTAACCATTGACTTCACTTTTTACTTAAAGATAGCTCCAGATTTTCAAGATGTATTAAAACAGTTCCGCACTATATTGTCATATGTCAGTACATCTTCTTGGATCTGTGGTCATGTAAATATAGTTCAAATCTAGTTCTTTCTTAACATGAGACATTAATTCTTAAATAGATTTGTTTGATCTTTCTTTCCAGGCCTTGACAAAATTCTTGAAATGTGTTAACTGGGACCTTCCACAAGAGGCAAAGCAAGCGCTGGAGCTGCTGGGCAAGTGGAAACCAATGGATGTGGAGGACTCCTTAGAACTTCTATCATCTCACTTCACAAATCCAACAGTTCGACGATATGCTGTTGCTAGACTTCAGCAGGCTGATGATGAGGTATTCACTGTTCTCTCATCTCAGAACGTGGAGCACAGAGGATTTTTAGCAGGTGCTTCTTACCTTCAAAGACATTTAAGTAAATAGTAGTGATGGAAATGCTGTTGTTGGGCTCTTTTTGGAAGGAAATTCACAGTATTGGTAATTGCATTGGTGTGAACAGTCAGTGGTAGTTTTGTTTTTTTTTTTTCTCCAAGTTGAAACAAGTGTTCTCCCCTCAAACCCATTGTAAATTTTGAACGTTAACATTCATAGAAGTAAACTAAAAGGTTTCCAGCTGCCTTGGATGTTAAAGCAGTGCATCATCATATACTTTATGAAGAAAATGAGTAGATAAACATCTGTAGAAAAAAGGTATTTCCAATTTTATACTGATTAGAGTGATGAGCTGTGAATTGTAAGTCAAGCTTTATAGATGCTGGTCAGTTTAAATTGTAATTATTTACATTCAACAGTAAAAAATAAAATACTATGAATATACTATTGTAGATCTCAAATTCTTGGTAATCAGTTGGGATTAAAATTGGCAATGCTCTCTTCTGTAATGTTAGAAATCCCTCTTCAGTTTCCAAGGTTGTACTCCTTTGTCTGTGAAGTGTACTTTTCACAAAATGTTTAAATCCTACTCAGAAAATTGAGTAGTAGAGAAAACAAATGAATTATGAAGATCTAGTAATTAAAATTCTATGTTTTAGTCATACGTCAGATGCACTTATTCATTGCTAAGGATAAAAGAAAAAAAAAAAAAAACAACTGTACAGAAGAGAGGAGGAAAGATTATTTCTTGGTACTGTGGTCCAGATTTTGTTTCATTCCTAGAAGCTGTGAACTAAAATGTATTTTGTGAACACTCGAAGCAAGTAGGACAACTTAAGTGTGCTTTAAAAGCATATTTTTCCCTGAAAGAATTAGTTAATTAACACTTTGTGTAACGAAGAAGTAGTGATGTAATAACTCTTACCTTTTGGGAGTCTGAGTCCATCCTACACCAGTTCTTCTGTTGTATATTGCTGTTGAAATACTATTCCATTTTACTGACCAAGTTTTTCTGTTCTCTTCTAGATTCTGAAATCTAGGCACTTTGACTGATCCTGTGAATTCATTTTCTTTTCTTTTTTTTTTTTCCCCCTTCATGAGGATTTACTAATGTACCTACTGCAGCTAGTCCAAGCATTGAAATATGAAAACTTTGATGACATAAAAAATGGACTGGAACCTAGCAAGAGGGATAGTCAAGGTTCAATGTCAGAAAGCATGACAACATCTGGAACTAATGGTACAGAAATAGACAGGTAAAAAGCTAAGATTTTCAATAAAAAGAATTTTAAAAGAATTTGCAGGGAGAATCCAGTGAACGTAGAGGAGCTGCTGGGGGCATACATTCTATTAATTTCAGTCCAAGAGTAGGGCTGAACATGTCATTAAGTCACAAACTAATTTGTTTAACAGACAACAGACAAATCTCAAGTTTTCCACTTGTGTCACTAATGTATACTCTCCATATTATAAATATACTCCTTTTCACTGATCTTACTGCAGATCTGTGATGCGTGCTGCAGTGACACTTAGACATTGAGGACTTTGATTACTTCCTTTTACTTAGGTAAATTTACTGTATAATAATTTTACTTAGCAAACACTGGATTTGTCTACTGCATGTGATTGCATTCCAGATTTGAGGGTTTGCAGGTGTTCTGTTTTAGCAACTTCATCAAAAACATTTTTAAAAAGCTTATACTGAAAACATTAATTTGCTAAATTCTTGTGGTTGTCTGTTTATTTTTTATGGAAGCTGAAAGAAAACAGTAAGATTGATGTGACTGAATGTCCTGCATGACCATAAGTTGTTTAACAACTGGGCACAGATGTTTGATATTTTCAGGAGCAGTAGTGATTAAAGCTGCCATTCTGTTTGTTCTGGAACAGAATTTTGATTATTTACTTGCTAGTAAATTTAAAGAATTTATATAGAAAATACTTCCTTTACAATTTTCTGAGTTTGTTTTGTGGAAGTCAAATGCATTGCTACTTCCTTGCACATTTCCTGTTCCCCAAGAAAGAACTTTAAATCATGGCAATTACACGCTCTCCTTTGTGTAGTTCCCAGATCATGACTCCTATTCCGTCTGTCTCCTCACCACCTCTAACTTCAAAAATGAAGGAACCTGCAGACAATGAGAACCTTGATGTAAGTCAAGTGTTTTATGTTGCAATTGTGATGTTTGAAGCTTTCTAGTAGACTTTCTACTTTTCTCTGTGTGTGTGTTTGGATTTTTCTTTTGTACTTTGCAGAATACTTAAATGTTCTAATAATATAAACGTGAATTAAATACAAAAACAAACAAACAAAGCAGCAGCTTGTGTGAGTTTCTGGTTACATTAGTCCAAGTCTGGAGGGAGCTGAGCATTGAATTGGTCAGGATAGCAAATGACTCTTCTAAGTATTAGACAACTGCAATGACTATACATGCTGATTAGATACTGACAATCATGTGATTGTGTTTGAGCTGTACTAAAGCTCCGTTTATAATGGAAAACAGTTATCCAAATGCTTTTAATATCTGCAGTGTGTTCCTCCTTTAGCCAAGTTGGCATTTTTTCTTCCTTATGAGCCTAAGGACACTATGCTGATTTATATCCATCAAGGATTTTGCTCTTCTGTTTAAAGTAGGAATTGATCAACAAAAATGGGACTACAGGGAGGGAAAGGTAGTGAAAACAATTTGGGGAAATTTAATTTTTTCCTGATGTATAGTTGGTTGATATTTGAACAAAAAGTCCAGATTTCACAAATCCTTTTTGCAAATTTGTCTTTTTGGGTCTCAGAACTGAATAGAAAATAATCCTCAAATGAAGCATATGAACAAGGATATGCAGATTTCTTCTTGGAAAGAAGAATATATATTTTTCCATATATCCAATTATACCTTGGATAAGTAGCTAAATGCTCAGTGAACTCTACAGATTCATTCACTAGAATGAAGATTGAGAACATATTGATGAGCGTTAGTTCTTGATGCAAACACGGTAGCAAATCTACCACTTTAGGCTTGAATCTCACACTTGGAAAATTGCATAGGAGACAAGAGTAAATTATTTTAAATAAAAAGTTAATACTGAAGATCTTTAGTTGGTAAATACGCTACTTCAGTAGGCTTTTTTTACTTACAGCTTACTGCTCAGATTGTTCAAAGTAAAAATTAAAAATAACTTCGTTGTAGGATGAGTTGGGTTCGACCTTTAGAAGGGAAGGGATCTCTTAAGTCTGTGCATTATTTGTTATTTTTCCTTAACTAAATTTTACTGATGCATTCAGAATTCTTTTGTTATGTAATTCTGCTTTTCTTAAATCCCTCACAGCAAGATCTTTGTACATTCTTGATATCACGAGCATGCAAAAATTCTACGTTGGCAAACTACTTATACTGGTATGTAGTAAACTGTGTTTCAAAGTGTAATTGAAATCCCGGAGGAATGCGAAGGAAAAGATAACTTGTGTTGCACTTGAGAGTCTCTGTTGCTGTCAGGATGAAGTAGTGCATTTAAAACAACATACATCTGAACACAGTATTCAGTGAGTAAGGGGCATGTATACAAACAGTAAGTACAGCATTTAAGAAAAAAATACTAAAACCAGACATTTTTACGTTGTCATTCAGTTTGTATATGGTGGTAGGTAAGAAAGCTCATCTTCTGCAATGAGTAAAGTTTCTCAAACAAGAGTGAACTTCACAAAGGTTCATAAAGCACTAATTCTTTAGTGCTAACATAATTATTTTAGATTTGATTTGTGCCTATGTTGTGATCACAAACAAAAAGTCATTGTAGATGTATACTTTCTTATGGGATAAATTTAGTTATGAATTGTTCATCTAGATAATGAAGAGGTAAGATCTTGTCTCACTTAAGCAATTCAAGAGCTAAACTAGATTCTTAAACTAGTCATCTGGGTTTCTGATGTACCTAATGGAATAATCATTTGCAAATGTAGAGTACAACTCTATTTTAATATTAAGACAGGATAATTCACAAGTGTGTATATGTTTCTGTGTGCACAAATGTACACAAGGCACTCATTTTATAGTGGAGAACATTGTACTTCTGATTTTAGCCAAATGTAATGGTTATGATTTCTATTCTTTTAGATGTATTTAATAAATACTTATCACATTAGCAAGTGCTAATTATAAATTGAGTATTTTGTATGGTAAAAACATAGTGTTATTAAAATTTTAAGTATCGTAACCTCCCCAAGAATGATTTAGTAAATTTAGTAAACCTCCCCAAGAATGATTTAGGTTTGTTTTATTTTTTCATCACTTTAAGGCATGTAAATGCCTGGCTTAAGTAGTTCCTTAGCATATGTACTTTTATTGTGCTGGCCGAAGTTGATGCTTGTCACCATAAAAAAGTGCAATTAAATTGAAATGGCTGAATTATAGGTATAATGCATTAATGTGGGTAGAAGCCAAATGTTTGACCTAAGTAAACATTCTTCATTAAAACAAATGTTGGTAGATTAGCTAGTTCCTATCATGCTGACGTAAACTGTGCATTGACATTTCAGCAACATCTCAGACAGACTATAGGATGTTTAAGTGTCCAAAGCTCAGAAGTTTTTGTCACTGGATAGCAAGAACAAAAACAGGAAAAAAAAAATATGCACAAAAAAGCAGAGAAAACACCACAAAGTCAATTTGTTCATTGTTTTCCTTCCAGACATCTCAATTTTTCAGTGACAGAATATAAATGTTGAAGTCACTGTTTGAGCTGATGTAGCCAAAACTCCAGTTGGTTGCTGATCAGCTGCTTGTTTCAGCTGTCCAGACACAGTGTGCACCTAAAATAATGGAAAAGTTTATTAGCTGTCGAAAATTAAACCTCCTTGCTCATTAACTTGCTTTAAAGCTCTCCTATCACTGTACTTTAACTGTGCCTACAAAATTCACTGCTTTACTTTTCCCTGAGTGGGCATATGAGACACCTACTCAAGTTTTTTAAAGTAGTTTTGAGAAGTTGTCTAGTTTTTTTGTTTTAGCAAATGAAGATGATGATTACATATTTCAGTTTATTACATCCAATTTTCCTTTTAAGTTTCATTGCACAGAGTAAAGATCTTTGTGTTTATGATCATACCATTGCAATCTAATTTTGTCACTGTAGGAATGTAACAGTGTAGGCCAGTATAAGAAAAAAGCTTTGGAAGTAACTTCCATTTGGAGAATATGCATTGAATGCTTTGCATATTCCTTACTTTTTATATTTATTTGTAAATAAAAGTAGTCAAATTCAACATATGCAGTTTTTAAATGTGGAGTTCTTATGTCAGCGTGAATAAGAAAATTCAAAATTAGTTTATGCAGATAGAAATTTAAGAAAAATAAACTGAAACTACAATGAAATTCTTCTATCAATATGACTTTCTGTACAGATGAGAATCATGGATACCTGTAACTGCTTTTGAACTGATTATATACCTTTCTGACTGCACCTTCTTAGGAGGAAGGAAGTTTGTGTACAGCAAGGGAGTTGTTTTTGACTTGAGCTGTTCACAGGCAATTTCCTTTCTTCTCCTTTTTAGTTAAGAGTATAAAAAATAGAGTAAATAGAGTACAGGGTGTTTTGTCATTTATGTTCTACCATATTAAAGCTGATCTGAAATCAGTGTAAAACTGAAGTGTGCAGCAACAACAACAAAAACAAACCATATAGTGTGCTTAGCATTCTTGAACATTACCTGAAGTTGTAAAGGACACTGAAAATAGCATTGCTTATTCACAGAAAGCCCCCTACCCATATGGAAAGTCACCTATAGAGGGGAAGAAATACGATGAGTATGTAGTCACTTCAAACACTACTATATTTGAAAAGAGGCTGTTTCATCTCTTTTTTTTTTTTTTCTTTCTTTTTTAAATATATATAGTGGATTTCTTTTTTTTCTGGATAAAACTTGGGAAATATTTTCTTAAACAGAAAGGATCTTTTGTGCACGGCAGTGGTTGCTTGTCAGTGCTATGAATAGAAAGAAACACAAAATGTACCAAGTTGCTAATTATTATATCAGAGTAAAATACTGACAGTTACAGGACAACCATCTGAAATTATCCTATTTAATTTTGTTCCAATATCATAATTTTAGAAAAACTTGATTTGAAATGTAGAGTTTGCTACTTCAGGATCAGTATGCTTTCTTTTACTTTTGCTGATAGGAAACAGATGGGATTTTTTAATGTATGCTTGAATCCAAAGCTTGCATTATGCCTGGACTGTAGAGGTTGGCAGCACTTACAGTGCTTGCTTGGAATATTTTATCATTTCTGTCTTGTCCTGTTTAAGAGACGAGATGTTTGCAGTAGTGAAGCACCTCAGAAATGTTGATAGGCCATCATAGTTCAAGTGGAAGTTTGTAATTATGAATCGGAGAGCTCATCTGTTATCTCATTCAAGAATGAATTTGTTTTCAGGTCCAGACATACAGTACAGGGCTGCACTAACTTGAGTTTTTTTATACTGCAGGTATGTAATTGTGGAATGTGAAGACCAAGACACTCAGCAGAGGGACCCAAAGACTCACGAAATGTACCTAAATGTGATGAGAAGATTTAGTCAAGCTTTGCTAAAGGTAATGCGTTAACACGGTGTTTTTTGTTAGTCATTTTGTAAAAAAAAAAAAAAATAATAATAATAATAATAATAAAAAAAAAATACATGTCTAGGAAAATGACACTTTGTTGTGTCAGTTATCTAGAAAGCTTCCACTTTACTTGAATTTTTAGTGTTTGTGGTAAACTATAAAGAGGCTACCAAAAAAAAGTAAAGGAGAATTATTGAAAATTGTCCTCTTATTTCTTGCTTCCATTTGTAACATGCTGATTCTAAAATCCTCTGGCTTGTATAAGCAGTCAGTTATTTCTTTTGCAGTTGAAATTGAGTCAAGAAGCCTGTCCTACAAACTCAGAAGAAGAGTAGTTCTATTTGCCTTCAGCAGAGAGTTATGTAGGGGAAAAAGCAAAAACAAAATAAAATGTTTTTATGAATTGTACTGTATAATTTTTTTTTAGTAGATACATGTTCTTTCCCAATTTTAATGTGTCTTATGTTTTTTATTTCCATTTTTACAAATGCTTTTTGAATCTGACTCTTAGGCTCTGGAGAATATTCTATGTGCTTGCTCTTACTAACTTGTTGTGTGAATAAGTTTATCATGCATGATTGTTCACAACTAAAATTATTGATGCAAATCAAAATATGCTGGTAAGTTAAATATTTAACTGTCAGATGCAGTAATTTTGATTGTATTTTACAGAAAATATCTTCTGAATTAAAAAGAAATTGATCTTCGTTCACTTCTTAAAGTCCAAAAGTCTAAGATCACAAGAATAATTTCTAGATGAGATAATTAGGGAACAAAAAGCTAATTTTGTTTTTTTTTTTTTTTTAATTCACTTAGGGTGATAAGTCTGTCAGGGTTATGCGTTCATTACTGGCAGCTCAGCAGACATTTGTGGATCGGCTGGTTCATGTAATGAAAGCAGTGCAGCGTGAAAGTGGAAATCGTAAGAAAAAGGTAAATAAGAGATTGGAAAACTTATCTCTGGGTAGAAATTAACAGCATGAATGTCAGCTTTTAATGAAAAATTCTTAGCACTGAGATGTTACAGGACAGATGTTACACAACTGTTACATAATTTCAGCTAATTTTAAACAAGCATAGGAGAATATTAGATGGGTCAAGGTTATAAAGTGCTCTGAAACTTCAAAGGTGGAAAAAAGAGGCCCCTCAGAAAAATCTCAGGTTACTGTGGCAGAAGTAACATGTTGGAATAACATGAAGAGCTGGTGATGCAAGAAAGAACAAGTCATGGAAGACATGAGAACATAGCAGACAGAGGTTGTTTTGATGATTTTTATGATGTTGTGAATTGTCATGCAATGCAAGAATCATGCAATGACTGAGGTTTGGTGGCACCTCAGTAGGTCAACTTGTCTTACCCATTTCTCAAACATATCCCTTCTTAGTAGCTCCAGGGCTAGTCCTATACAGCTTTTTGATATTTCCAAGAGCAGAGACTCTCCAAGGATTCTAAACAATATTATCCATTGTTCACTCATCCTCACAGTGAGCAGGTGTTTCCTGACTTTCCATTGTACTCTCCCCATGCTTGTATTTTTGTCCCTCCTCCTTCTTATTGTGGCGTTGGGCATCACTGAAAAGAGTCTAGCTCTCTTGGTTGCTCCCTCTCTTGATGTGTTTCTGCATGTGAATAAAATCCACCCTGGCCCTACTCTGAAGCAAGGCACTGCGACTCTCTCCAGTATGCCCAAGTTTATCTTGTAATCTGGAACTGGACACAGCACTCCAGGTGCAACCTCGTCAGTACTGATTGAAGAGGATCGATCATCTCCCTTGAGTTCTGGGTTGGTATGCCTAATGCATCCAATACCATTAGCCTTCTTTACTGCAAAGTGTCTACCAGACCTTCAGTTTTTTTGTTCATTTGTTTGCTTGTGAAATGAAATTTATGCCAGTGTAAGAAATCAAGAAATTCAGCTAACAAGACTTATTTTGTTGCAAGAGCAAAAATCAAAAAGCTATTCCTTTGTAAGATGAGTGTATAACTACGTGAAACAGAACTGTTAGCCTTGAGAAGAATTTCTGTCATAAGTACCTTCTAAGATACTTCACCACTCTAATTTAAAATTCTGGGTGAGCTTGACAGGTATGGAGAAGGAGCAGGATCTCCAAGGAATTTCTTGGAGAAATTTATTTTCTTTTCCTCTGATGTATACTATTATTCTTTAAGATGAGTTTTCGGTGTGATTTTCCACTATTTTTTCTGTCTTTGGGATATGTTTGTGGAGGAAAATGAAACATTTAAGCAGTGTATAACTTCTCTGAAATTTTATGATAGTGCTATGTGCTGGTAAGAAAGGTATAATCACCTAAAGAGATTGAAGGTTTTTTCAATCCATAGGAATGTATTGCCTGCTTGTGCAGTGTTTTGGTAGTGTTCTCTCAGATGTTCTTTTTTCAAGCTAAACCACATGGCTTTGATTTTTTGAAGCATAAAGAATTGAAAAAAATAGTGATTTATTAGTAATTATTATTTATCTACTGTAAGAAGACTTTAATTGCTCATGTGTACCTAGTAAGTATGCTTTGAGTAAAAAACAAGCATTTGATTCTTTTTCTTTTAGAATGAGAGGCTTCAGGCATTGCTAGCAGATAATGAAAAGATGAATTTAGCAGACATGGAACTTATTCCTCTTCCTCTGGAACCTCAGGTGAAAATTAAAGGAATAATCCCAGAAAAAGCCACACTCTTCAAGGTAAATGGCCTCTAAATAGATGCAATACGAACTATGGCCACCAAGCTTGGAAACATCAGTTGGAATGTTGAAATGATCTGATCTAGTCAAGGCAAGATCTAACTGTAACATGTTCTTAAAGTGATTGAATAGCAGTTTTGTTGTTTGTTTGTTTGTTTGTTTGTTTTTCTGGAAGTATTTTTAGGCACCAAGTTCAAACAGCTTTTGAAAGACTGATTATGTTATGAAGTAGCTGTATTCTCCTTTGGAAAAGGGTAAAAATTTTTGTACAAAACTTCAATAATGCAAGTGGTTCACCAGCCAGAGATGTTCTTCCCAAGTTGACAATGCTTCAGAATTTATCTGAATCTTGATGAGTCTCTGGTCAGCAGGAATATCGTTTATGATCAAAAATCAAGTCGCCTAAGATAGATATGAGCATGTATTCCTTTTTAAAATAAACCTCTTGTTAGGTGCTGGAAAGAAAGATGATTGTTCATTTGTAGCAATGGACTGCTTGGTAGATCATGTAACCTAAGGATAAATAACTCATTAAATTATACCAGTTCTGTTGATTGTGGTTATATGGCTGTTCCTTAGTGTGGTTACTGAACAGTCAGTATGCTGTTAAAAGGACTAGTTTTGTTTTGCTTCTTATGCTACCTGGAATGTGGATGGTTATGCTAACCTGGACCTGTGTTCAATAATGTAGTACCTCCCTATAAATTTAACTTCAATTATGTAGTCAACCTAAATATGTTTTACTGGTCAGGCCTCTAACCAGCAGCTTAAGTGCTAATTTTAAAGAAGGGAAAAAAGATTCTAGCTGCTCTTGCAGCATGTTACCAGGCTGTAAATTTATTTATACCTGCAAAGTTTGGTGATTGTGGAATGTATTAATTTCTGTCAACGTAGGGAAGCATTTTTCCAAATACGGAAAAAGTTTGACAACTTTGATACCCCACTCACTTTTATTTTTTGTATCCCTTACTTTGAAGAGTACTCATCTCCCACTACAGGCTCAAGTAACTTGTTTTTAAATTGGAGATAACTTTGATTGGCCTGATTCTGAATGGTTACTGATTTCCAGTTAATCACTAATCTTGCTCTATGAGAAAAAAATCGAACTCCTAGATGAATGACTAATTTTTGGTGCTTTTGGACATCACATGTCAGATTTATGGAACTTAAAAAAAAAAAAATGTATTCCATGTGAAAAATATAGTATTGCTGCTAAAATATTAAACAGTGTCCTTGGTTTTTATTGTTTTTGCATTGAAGGAAGCGACTCAGTCATTTGCACTAGTTGAAATTATTCATGTCGATAATTGATCCCTTTCAATCCATTTTATCTGAAGAAACAACAAACAATTAAATTGATTTTCACTAACGACAACGTAAAATGGCACTTTTGCTTTTACTAAATAGATTCAGGAAGCAGTTAATTTTTAAAGATGACTTGCCTCTAGCATTTCTTTGATGTTTATCCTATAATTGTGTCTTTTTGATCTGGTCAGTTAAAATTTGTTTTGTTGTGACCTTTTGCTCAGCGCTTTCATGTTGATTGGAATTAAATGCCTGCAAACAATTTGAATCCTTCTGCCCTTTTGTCTTCAGGCATGGGTTGGGGGGTAGCATTTAGGGAGTGTATCATTTATACTTCACTAATTTTTTTCTCTTTAAAGAGTGAAGAACTGAAGGGATTTAATTTATTTTTTATAACATGCTTAGATCACAGCTGTGATATCTGAGAATGACATAGTCTAATTGATTCCTGAATAGTCGGTAACTACTTTAAGAAGTTTTTGGATTTGCTTATTTTTTGCCAGATAATGAGGAACATTAAGGAACTTCTGGTCCTTGCTGCCATGCTGCTAATAACCAAGGAGACTGCTATGTCACTCAGTTTTATACCTTATGCCTTATTCTTGCCTATTTCACTTACTTATAATGTTGTAAATATGGATTTACATTTTAGAAATGTACTGTAGCAAGATGTTAATGAGGATGTTGCTTTGAGCCAGCTCAGTAGGATTTTCTGTTCCAGAGTGCTTTAATGCCCGCTCAGTTATTCTTCAAGACAGAAGATGGAAGCAAATATCCTGTAATTTTTAAGCACGGGGATGATTTACGTCAAGATCAACTTATTCTTCAGATAATTTCACTTATGGATAAGGTAAGGATTACTGTCTTATGTGGCATTTCTGAGTTCTTGATTCTTCTCAACAGCAAGACTGGTAAAAACTGTTAATGGGTCTAATATGGCTACTGACGTAGCTAATACATTTTAGAGTTTTTCTGACCTTACTTTTTTTTTTTTATAGATCTTTTCAGATTCTGTTTATATTAAAAAAAAAAAAAAAAATCTTAAATCAGCCTTTATTCATTACTCATTACAGTGAAGAACTTCATAGATCAATGTCCAGTATTATTTTAGAAACATAGCTGATTTTTGTTGCTCTCATTTTAATACTTCCTTCTACTCCATCCCAGCTGCTAAGAAAAGAAAATCTGGATTTGAAACTGACGCCGTATAAAGTGCTGGCTACCAGTACAAAACATGGTATGAGTACTTTGTTTTCCAAAAATGCAGTATTGGGTATTTTTCTTTCCCTCCTTCATTGAGTGTTGTGACATAGATACTTTACTTAATATACAGCATTCTGGAAAAAGAGCTCAAATGTGTAAGATAAAGTATATAAATTACTGAAGTAACCAACTTAATTGACCACGGTATTCCATAGGTTGTGATATGTGACAGTCATTAAATTATTTCCAGACATTATTTTCATGCTGGTTTGCTGCGAGGTCTTGGACAAATCACATGAATACTCCTACTGACCTTTGCATTGACTGGAGGGGGAAAAAAAAAAAAAAAAAAAAAAAAAAAAAAAAAAAAAGATCAAAATCAAACTTGGCTATGCTTTCAGATCCATTGTGGATAAGCATTTAGAATGTCACTGATTTAACTTTCTCTTCTGTTGAAAGTTTGAAACTGGCTTTTTCTGTCCTGATTGGGATTTAGGATATGTGGTACTGTTATCAAGGCCTGAAAATTCAGGAAAAAAAGTGTTGTGTTTTTTCTTTTGCTTTGCTAGTTTGCTGAGAACCAGTTGAGTGAATGTGTTAGTGAAACCTTTTAATAAAAATCTGTATCTTCAGATGTCTGTGCACTCAAATTTTTTGTTGTTTCTTTTGCAGGCTTCATGCAGTTTATTCAGTCAGTGCCAGTTGCAGAAGTTCTTGCTACTGAGGAAAGTATACAGGTCTGTGAGGTAGTACTTAAGTCTTCTACTCATCAGACAGTATAAATTGCAGCCTTAGATCTTATGCATCAGTCTTTACAGTCTCTCCACTGATTTTTGTGTCTGCTGTTTAGAAGACAGATGTAGACTTCAAAAGGACTAGATTTTTTTTTTTGCTTTAGAAAACCACACTTTAATTGCCACATGACTGTCTCATGACCTAAGAGTAACACCATATATATAATTAAACTCAATCTTTAGTTGTGATACTGAAATTGTGGGTTTCCTGTAATGATGAAAGTAATGCCAGACGCTTTTCTGTATTCTTCTGTTTTTAAGATATTTCTGTTGTTTACTCAGTGATTTTGATACCTTGTTAAAGCATGTAGTAATGTTTTTTAGATTGAGCAACAAAGTATTTTGTCCATTTAATTTTTGACATCTGTATCATTCATTAGATTAAACAGGGACATGTAGTTGAATAGTGTTAGACAAAAAAAAAAAAAAAAATCAGCACAGCTTCAAGCATAGCACAAGCTGTAAAAGACCTAAGATCATCTGGTCCAACTGTGAACTCATTGCTGCCATACCCATTAACCATGTCCCAAGTGCCACATCTCCATGTTTCTTGAACATCTCCAGGTATGATGACGCCATGACCTCCTTAGGCAGCTTGTGCCAGTGCCTGACCACTCTTTCTGAGAAGTTTTTTCCTATAATCTGAACTTTCAGTGACAGTTTAAGGCTGTTCCCTCTCATTCTGTCACGAGTTACCTGAGAGCAGTGGTTGACCCCCACACTGCTACAACTTCCTATCAGGTAGTTGTAAAGAGTGATAAGGACTGAGCCTCTTCTTCTCCAGACTAAACAATCTCAGTTATCTCAGCTGTTCATCCTAAGATTTGTGTTCCAGACCCCTCACCAGCTTTGTTGTTCTTCCCAGGACTCACTCCATTGCCTCGGTGTCTTTTAGTGAGTGGCCCAAAACTGAAGAGTTTTCAAGGTGCAGCCTCAGGAGAGTTGAGCACGGGTTGATTATCTCCCTGCTCCCTGCTGACAGCACTTTCTTTACAATCAAGGATGCCACTGGCCTTTTTGGCCACTGGGTGGGCCAGGAAGCACTGGGCTCACTGCTGGCTCACGTTCAGCTGATTGTCAGCTAGCTGTCTCAGATTCTTCTTTCACAGAACTTAGTTCAAGTGTGATTTTTCCTGACCTGTCACAAACAGACGTACTTTTGTATTCATGGTTATTCTTAATGCGTTCTTAATTTTCTGAGATTATTTTAAAGATCTGCTTTCCAATTTAAAATTCATATCTGTGTCTGAGTGTGCAAATATGATGATTAAAATGGAATGTAAAGACAGCAATGTAGAATTAAATAGATCTTACTAGTTTTGGTGGGAAGTGGGAGGTGGCTGTTACTTTAACGTGACTCTACTGGTTGTCTGTGGTCTTGTTTTATGTCTTGAATTACTAGTTATAAAAATCATGTTACGGGTGATAAAGGGTAACTAAATGTATTGATGACTTCCCCAGAACTTCTTCAGAAAGCATGCACCTAGTGAGACTGGACCTCATGGAATAAGTGCAGAGGTGATGGACACGTATGTTAAGAGCTGTGGTAAGTGACAGTAATGATACTGTGACTGATAATTTTGTTTCTGAAATATAATAATTGGGGTTGATGAGTTACTGAGGCACTTCAGTTTAGATGTCAGCAGCTGGAGGACTATACAACTGCATGCTGTGAGAACCTCTGTTGTAGCAAGGGCAGATCTTGCTTATATAGCCAATGAGGTCTGAAGTTTATTCAGCGGACCAATCATTAAGTGATTTGCTATTAAACTTAACTTTCATTTTTAATTGAAAGATTCTAATGAACAAAAAGCTAGTCATTAATTCGTCAGGACTACAGCAATGTTCAGGCTTCTTGCAGCTTTCAGGGTAGAATTAGAGGCCATGAGTTTTTCTGGTAATTAGCATCAGTATATAGATTTTTGAGATAATGAAAGAAAATCTGAATTTTCTTACTACCTAGTGCCTTTCTGGGGGAAGGTGGGTATGTGAAAAGGAGGAGTATTGCAAAACATTTCAGATTTTTCCCATTATGATCAAGTAGTCTTCAAAGCCCTCAAGGGGGAATGCTGCTGACTAATAAAAGGGTAATTTTGAGTTTGACATGAAGTATACTTTTTCTCTCATGTTTTCTGTCCATTAAACTAAACAGCTTTTTCCTACAAAAAATGTCATTCAATTGTTGCTCTACAGTGTCTTTTTTATTTTTCCTGATGCAGTCATTAGAACTTCCTAAAATGTTTCTGATTAGTTGGTGAAAGAAATGTGTTTGCATTAGATATAATTTATTTATCACATCCTAGCTTTCTTCTTAGCTTGTAACTACTACTGACACATGCATTCAGTTTCATATCAATGTCTAATGCTTGTTTACAGTTTGATAAATATCTTTAAATGTTTGAAGTGTGTACATTTAATTTGCCCAAAGTGCTTTGAAATATTTTAATCCAAGTATTGAAAGACATTGGATTTTTTGACACCATTATGCATATAACTGTGTAGCAAAAGTTTAATTTAGGTTTCTGAGTAAATTCAAATTTTAGTTTATTACTTTGCATTCTTCATATTGCTGATAATCTGGATTATTCGTCCCGGTCTTCTGACCCTCTGTGGTATATTGCTTGTGAGCAAAAATTAAGGTTACATTTTATGCTGTTGTTAACTGCACAGAACTTGTTGCTCTCCAGGAAAGGTACTTGTATTGATGCTTACAATTTACTCGTTACAGCTGGTTATTGTGTAATTACTTACATCCTTGGAGTTGGAGACAGACATCTGGATAATCTTTTACTAACAAAAACAGGTAAATTCCTTTTACTAGTATAATTTTATAATGTCATTTGTGTATGTTTAAATTACTAGTAGTATAGAACCAAAGAAGAGTTTATTTTGCAAGGGACCTAAAAGATCATTTACTTCCACCCCCCCAATAAAATAAAATACATGACAGATGAATAGTAAGGAAACAAGTAGATTAATCAAATTAGGCAAGAGATAACATTTAGCTGGTATGTGGTCTTGATGTTTGTGTATATCAGCTTATATATATCTGAAGTCTGAATTCTTTTGAACAAAGAAGTGTTTACAAACACTGGATTTCTGTACAGATTTCTCTTGGTTTATTTTACCATCTTGTGTTCTACTTTGGAATTTTTGTACTCACGAAAGCTCGACTTCAGAGCTGTTTAGGAACAGGAGTTTTTTCTTAAGTGATGCTGACGTTTTTGAAAGTAGTATGGGCATAGTATAGGGTAAAACTTGTCTGCCTTTCCTAAGATCAAAAAACCTGTTGCTGTTGTCTTAAACTTGTATAAATATCATACTTCAATTTTTTCTATAACAGCTTATTCAAAGCTGAAAAAATGAATGCTGTAGTAGGTAGCTGTGAAGTAATTCTAATTCCAAATATCCTAATTGATCTTCATCAAACAATTTAATTATTCATTAAATTGTTACGTTACTGTTTTTCAGATTTCCTAACATGGAGTTAAAAGCAATTTCAAGACGTACTAATTGCATGCCAGTTGCATTTTAATATTTTATGTACACTGTTCCTAATACAGTAGATATTATGGCAAGTATTCTCAGTTGTCACATGGAATTAGACAAAATCTTCATAACTTCCCTGATATCCATGATAATTCTCGCAGATTTTGCTTTCTTCTGAAAGAAATGGTACTGTGAACTTTACAGGTGCTTTTCTAAGGAATTGAAAACATGATGCAACCCCAAACTGGGAATGCCACATAAGACCTGGCAGAGCAGCGTTCACTCCAAAATTTTTTCTTGCTTCTGAACACTTTTTTTTTTTCTTTCTTTTTTTAAAGAAAGCTGAAAAGTAATAATCCAAGTGTTCCATCAGAATAACTGATAGTCAGGATCATACCAGAGCCCTACTGAAGCTGGGTTTTTATTTTTCCCAGCTATTTGTAAAAGTGATTAGGCTCTTAATGTCCTACCTGTTACAAGTACATGATTGAGGGAACAGAAGTAGTAGAAGTTATCATTTAATTAAATGAGATATATCACAGAATTATAGAATGGGTTGGTTTGGAAGGGACCTTAAAAATCTTATAGTTCCAATCCTCTGTCACTAGACTAGCCCCATCCAACCTGGCCTTGAACGCTTCCAGCTGTGGAACATCTATTCACAGCTTCTTTAGGCAGCCTGTTCCAGTTTTGAGTCTAAATCTATCCTCTGTCTTTTGTCCTGTCTCTACACTCCCTGATCGGAGTTCCTGCTCGGCTTTCTTGTAGACCTCCGTTACATACAGGAATGCTGCTAAAAAAAAGATGGCATCTTTTCCTTTGTAACAAAACCCATGTGTCTTGGAAGTTCAAAATAACAGACATGTATTTGAATATCTCTAATTTGTTTTGTTTGTATCATTACTTTTTGTTGCATGATATGTATTGATAATGGGCCCTGTAGAGTGCATAATGTTAGTGATTCTAAATTACTAAGTTCTGTAATGGTTTAAAAGAAATAATGCATGGTGTCAGCTAAAATAATGATTAGGACTCAAGAGGTGCAGTCTGTTTATTTCAAGTTGAATAGTATTATATATAAATGATCTCTAATTTGAAGTTAAACATTTCATTTTTAAAAGAGTTTGGAAGGTTTAAAAACAAAACCCAAAATGCCAATGAAAACAAAAACCCGGAAATGCTTTCTTACTTAGGAAACTGCTTTTCAAAAAAGCATCCATTTTCTTGTTTTTTTTATTTAGAATATTTCATTTAATTCTCTTCCCTGCCTCCTGTGTAGCAAAATAAAAATGCTGGATATCTTCTGTGTTTCAAGTTTCTGTGTTTTCAAGGAATTCCAGATAGCTTGCCTTGTTGATCAACCTATCTTCTGGAATTTCTCTGTTTGAATGATTAGAAAGCACTTAGCAAGTATGGAAGAAAATAGTCTCGGATGAATTGTGTTGAGTTTCTCAACTAAGTGGCAGTACAAGAGTTTACCGTCAAGCTATTCTAACTAATACAATTAATATCGTATGATGGGAGAAGTTAAATATTTTAGTTGAAAGTAACTTCATAGCTAGATGAAGTGCAGAAACCCTTAATAAATATGGATATGGATTTTTTTTTTTTTGCATGCTTACTTTTGAACCATAGCTTCTGTAGGTGTTTTGATACTTCAAATGTGTTCATTTACTTATGAAGAAAAGTTAGATGTTTAGTGTTTATAGTAAAGTAAGCATCTACTGAATGACAAAAGTGTAAATAAAATATCTTATATGGGGAAATGAGACATATCCACATGGATGGCTTTGCAGTATGCCTGAGGCATATGATGCAGTGACTCAGAGTACTTCATATGAAAGTGTTGGAAATTAATTCTGGTAGAATGTCTTGAAGTAAGCTTGTGGGATAACAGCTAAAGCAAATATGTTTTCCCTTATTTGATTGCAGTTGTGCAGATGAACATTCAAAAATCTGTCAGGAAGTTTGAATTATTTATATGACATGGGTATAAAGTGTTTTTTATTACAGTTACTGTTTGCATAGTCAGACTGATAATAACTTAGTTTTTTAGAGGTAAAGCTGTGTTAGGAAGTAACTGTAGCTTAGTTTGACTTACGGGAACAATTTAAACAGAACAGCAGAGGGCAGTGCAGAACCACAGTAAATTCAGAGCCTGAAATTATTTTCATTTGCTACCTTTGTTCTTTCACAAGCCAAGACATTGTAAGTTGTAAGGGAAAGCTAACCTCTTACCTCAAGGAATGTAAGCTAGAAACACCTTTCTTAAATGGTATGATCATATATGCATACTCTCTTGTTTATATTTAAACAATTGAATTTATTTCTTTCAGTATCCCTGAACTAGAAATCCATGTCTTTTATTTCTAGCCCTACAAAAATGTCTCGGGATCAGATCTGTTTCACCTCTTAAAGTATCTTCCCTTTTTTTTTGTTTTGTTTTGTTTTTATTTTTTTAAATGTATAATATCATGGTATAGAAATTCATCAGTCATTTGGAAAAAGTAATAAATCAATACTTGTCCAGTTTTGTCTTTATCTTTTAATTTATAAGTATCCTAATAATTATAAAGCTTTTCAAATTAATGTGTAATAAATCTGAAACTGGATTAGAAAATGGAATAGAATCATAAAATAGAATTATAGAATCACTCAGGTTGGAAAAGACTTTAAAGATCATCAAGTTGGACCATGACCTAAGATGTGCATTATTGTGGCACTCACTGTATGTTAAAGAAAGGGGAAAAAAGCCTCTAAAAGAAACATGAAGTTCATTAGATGTCTGGTACTGAGAGGACAGATAATTATATATAGATATCATGCTATGTGGCATGAAATACTAATCATAGTGAAGGTGTCTGAAACCCTGGCAAAGTTTGCTGAGGAGTCTCCATCCTTGTGATTGAAATGCTTTCTAGATGTGGTCTGGGCAAACTGATCTGGGTGGCACTACTTGAGCAGTGAAATTGGATGAGATGTTCTCCAGAAGGTCCCTTCCAACTTGATCTGTTCTATGACATAAGCAATCCTCTAAATCTGATTGGCTTTTTTTACCAGTCAAGTTATGTAACTCTAGGAACTCTCAATCGATTATGGCTTTTTGTAACGTTATTTCAGAACTGAAAAACTTTACTCAATAGCTACTAAACTAACATGAAACCGTAGAACGGTTTGGATTGAGAAGGACCACAAGTACAGGTGCAGTTCCAGCGTCCTACTGTGCGTGGGGCTGCCAACCACTACATTGGGCAGGGGCAACACTACATGGGTTGCCCAGGGCCCCATCCAGTCTGGCCTCCAGGGATCATCCACAGTTTCTCTGGGCAGCCTGTTCCAACACCTCACCACCCTCTCAGTGAAAAATTTCTTGTCAAACATCTGATCTAAATCTCTCCTTTTTTACTGTAAAACAATTCTGTCTTGTCCATCTATCTGTGTAAAAAATATAATTTTCCTCTTTTTGATAAGTTCACTTACCAAAATCTCCCCTCTTCTGGTGCAGCCCTGGATATTGTTGGCCTTCCGAGCTGCAAGTGTGCTCTACTGGTTCATATTAATGTTTTCATTTAGCAGGACGCATACTGCCTTCTCCACAGGGCTTCTCTCAATGAGTTCTTCTATGAGTTCGAGTACATATCTGGGGTTGCCCCACATTGTGCTTGGTCTTACTGAACCTCATTAGATTCACATGAGCCCACTTCTCAAGCTTGATCAGATCCCTCTGGATGGTGTCTCTTCCTCTGCTGTGTCAACTGCTCCACTCAGCTTGGTATTGTCAAATATGATGCTGACACTCTTGTAGACTGCTGCACAACTTAAAATCATACCTAAGGTTATTTTTTCAAGTATCGTCACAACTGAGGCTGACAAATTTTAAATAAATGGTGTTTTGAGGAGCTGTAGATGTGAAGAAAAGTTGCTGTTGATTTTTGGCTCCTTCCTTACAGATGTGTATCAGAAGGAATGACTGTGCTAAGTAAATACACTATTCACTGTAAAAGTCAATTCTCAGAATAAAAATTTTAACTAAATATGGTCAGAGTTCTCTCTCAGAAGTTTTGGTTTGATAATTCTCAGGGATGATGCAGAGTAACACTGTCCTCAGCATCATTAACTTGGGATGTAAAAACTTCTAAAAGATCCAGGAACCCTCTTGAGGTTCTTGATCAACTATCTCGATCATTATTTTCTTTAGAGTGGGATTCCAAGTGTCATCCCTTGATTAAAAAAACACCAAGAGAGCCTTCTATCATTATTTCATATTTTAGTATGGTGGCTTAATTGATCTTGGAGCTAACCAAATAAAAATAAATTAAACCTGTTTATTATTTTTCATGTAACTAAATATATTGAATGTATTCAAGTTTAAACGTTCGATGTACATTTGAATCATAGCCTAAAAATCTGCTGAATGTTGCTGAATATTGAACCACAACTAGAGAAACTGTAACAGTAATAAAAGATGGCCTGATCTTTATTTTATTCATTTTTAGGAGTGAGGTATAAGTTGATGAAGTTCCTTCCAACCCCTAGAATTCTGTGTGTGATTCTTTGTATGAAATGATACGTGTTCATATACACTCATGTTAATGTTTTTGAATGGTTCAGGTACATCTTAGTTACTAATTTACATTATTAATTAGCTCCTCTTATTCCTTACCTCCAAAGCAAACTAAGAAAAGATGTAATTACTGCCAGTAGAGTTATTCTTATATTCAAATATTGTCCCTTAACTCTTCGTGATGACAGATTTGGATAAGTGAACTGAAAACAGACCCTCCCTCAGACTCTTTAATTAAACAGTTTCTATAATGCAATGAAGATATCTGTATATATCAGTGTCTACTTCAAACAACTTTTAAAATTCATTTTTGTAAACTAACTTCTGTAACAGTGTGAAAACACTATTCAGGGAAGTTTTTAGCACAGTTAGATATGCAAAATGTCATGAATGTGACATTTATCAACTAGCAAATATTTAGTTTGCTTATTAAGTATCCTTGTGATTTCTCTCAGAAAATTGACCATGATGGAATTTGTTTCTTGAGTTGAAGAGTACTTACGGCAGATCTCAAACAGTTTTGTCTGGTGATGGAAAATCTATTATTCAGTGATACAGACAGATAACTAGCTGAAAAAGTACTAGTAGTTACAGTTTTTTCAAGAATGTTGATCATTTAAGCTTGCTGAAATGAATAGAGGTGCTTCAAGTTCTAATACTGGCAAACAAATACAGAATCATAGAATCAACAGGTTGGACAAGACCTCCTAGATTATCCAGTCCAACTGTCTACTTATACCAGCATTTCCCCACTAATCCCTTAATCCCATGTCCCTTAATACTGCATCTAAATGTTTTTTGAATGCAATGCCTCTAGTGATGGTGACTCAACCATCTCCTTGGGCGGCCTGTTCCAGCATCTGGCCATTCTTCTGGAGAAGAAATCTTTTCTGATGTTCAACGGGAATCTCCCTGTGTGCATTTTGAGACAGTTCCCTCTAGTCTTTTCAATAGGCATGTCAGAGAAGAGGTTGACCCCCCCACTTCACCACATCCTCTTTCATCTTCCTTTCAGATAGGAAAGGGAACTATGAGGTCTTCCCTTGGCCTCCTCTTTTCCAGACTAAACAATCCCAGTTCCCTCAGCCCCTCTTCTTAAGGCTTGTGTTTCAGACCCTCACCAAATTCATTGCCTTTCTCTGGTCACACCAGGGTCTCAGTGTCTGTCTTGTAATGATGAGCCTAAAACTGAGCACAGTACTCAAGGTGCAGCCCTCAACAGAGCTGAGTTCAGAGGGTTGATCACCTCCCTGCTTCTGCTGATAGTACTATTCCTGATACAAGCCAGGATGCCATCAGCCGTCTTGGCACTTGGGCATACTTCTGGCTTATGTTTAACCATGCATAAACCAATAGCCTCAATTCTATTTCTTCCACACAATCTTCCACCCATTCTGCCCTAAGCTTGCAGTATTGCGTGGGGTTGTTGTGGCCAAAGTGCAGGACCTAGCACTTGGTGTTGTTGAACTTCATTCCATTGGCCTCAGCCCAGCAATCCAGTCTGTCCAGATTGCTCTGTAGGGCCTTCCTGCCCCCTTGTCCTCAGCCTTTTCCTTATCCTCAGTGCTCACATTTCCCACTGCATCCAGTAAAGGATGGGGATTCTCCTTAGCTCTCCTATCACTGTTAATATATTTGTAATTTTGTTGTTGTTGTTGTTCTTTTTTTAATCCAGCAGCCAAGTTGAGCTCAAGCTGGGGTTTTGCATTTCTAGTTTTTTCTCTGCATATCCTAATGACTTCTTTGTTCTTTCCCCAAGTTGCTTGTCCCTTCTTCCACAGAAAGTAGACACTTTTTTTTTCTCTAGGATCTGCAGAAAAAGCTTCTTGTTCATCTTCACTAGTATTCTTCCCTGCTGGCTCATCTTGTGGCACAGGGGAATAGATTGCTCCTGTGCTTTTAAGATCTCCTTGAGGAGTGACCAATCCTCCTGGACCCCTTTGCTGTTCAGGACTGAATCCCAAGGGACTCTCCCTAGTGGTCTCCTGAACAGTTCAGTCTGCCTTCTGGAAGTCCAAGGTAGCAGTTTTTCTGTCCCCCCTCCTGACTTCATGAGGAATAGAGAACTATATCATTTCATGATCACTCTGTTCCGGATAGCTTCCAGCCTCCACTTCTCTCATCACTCTCTGTGAAAAGAAACAGAAACGCATGTTCATAACTGGTCTGTTCCATAATGCTGAAGCAAGAGTTAGTACATGTATTTCTGCTTCTGTGCTATTGTGACTAAAGAAGTTATACTAATAATTTTCTAATTTCATGTTGAAAACTTCTTCAGCTTTGCATCCACATTCCATTTTCCTCTATGAAGAAAATGTAATACTAAACGTATTAGTGTCACTAGGGAAGTCTGTTTTGGATGTAAAACTCAGCTAATATTTCAAACACCTGTTTGTCCTTTATTTACCTCCTTTCTTTCTTCACACTGACTGCAGGAAGATGGTTTCTCTCTGTCTTAAAGAAATTGTTCAGCAGACTAGCAGTAATAGGGAAATGAGTGTACATTCAAGGTGTGGGGAGACCACACCTTGAAAACTGTGTTTTGGGTCCATGGATGCAAGGAGAAATTTGAATAGTGTGAATGTATGTGAAGCAAAGCTGATGAAAGGATGAGAAAACAAGACTTGAGTAAAACAACTGAGAAAATTGGGATTGTTTATTTTGGAGGAGGCTGAGAGAAAACTGCAACGCTCTCTGCAGCCACCTGAAAGGAAGTTGAGATGATGCAAGTATCCATCTCTTGAGGTGACAAGTGATAAGAGTTGATGATACCATTTTCTTCAGGAGAGGTTTAGGTTGGATATCAAGAAGACATTCAGGCATTAGAGTGGACTGGCCAGAGCAATGGTGGAGTCTCCATCCACGTGTAGACAATGTCTGAAGGATGTGGTTTAGTGCTGGGACATGA